AAAGTCAGGAAAGGTGTGCGTCAGAGCTGTATCCTTTCGCCGTACTAACTCAATCTGTATGCTGAGCAAATAATCTGAGAAGCTGGACTATATGAAGAAGAATGGGGCATCAGGATTGGAGGAAGACTCATTAACAACCTGCGTTATGCCGATGATAAAACCTTGCTTGCTGAAAGTGAAGAGGACTTGAAGCACTTACTGATGAAGATCAAAAATCACAGCCTTCAGTATGGATTACACCTCAACATACAGAGAACAAAAATCCTCACAACTGGACCAACAAGCAACATCATGATAAATGAAGAAAAGATTGAAGTTGTCATGGGTTTCATTTTACTTGGATCCACAACAACACCCATGGAAGCAGCAGTCAAGAAATCAAGTGACGTATTGCAGAAGGCAAATATGCTGCAAAAGACCTCTTTAAAGTGTTGAAAAGCAAAGATGTCACTTTGAAGACTAAGGTACGCCTGACCCAAGCCACGCTGTTTTCAATTGCCTCATATGCATGCAAAACCTAGACAATGAATAAGGAAGACCAAAGAAAAACTGACACCTTTGAATTGTGGTGTTGGTGAGGAATATTGAATATACCATGGACTGCCAAAAAAACAACAAATCTGTCTTGGAAGGAGTACAACCAGAATGCTCTTTAGAAGCAAGGATGGTGAGACTATGTCTCACATACTTTGGACATGTTGTCAGAAGGGATCAGTCCCTGGAGAAGGACATCATGCTTGTCAAAGTAGAGGGTCAGTGAGAAAGAGGAAGACCCTCAATGAGATGGACTGACACAGTGGCTGCAACAATGGGCTCAAGCATAACGATTGTGAGAATGACACAGGACCGGTCAGGGTTTCGTTCTGTTGTGCACAGGGTCGCTGTGAGTCGGAACTGTCTCGACGGCACCTAACAACAACAACAACAACAACAACAAACCGGTCCACGTGACTCGGCAACGCTCTAAAGCTAAGAACTAGCAGAACTGAGTCTACAAGCCAGCTTCCTGATGCGCCTCCTCCCCAGGGAATTTCCTTTCCATTAAAACCAGAAGACAAAGAACTGTGAACACGAAATAAGTGAACCACACGGCAAAACGAAACACGTTTAACCACGATCTAGTGGAGGAACGTTTTCTAAATCGTGTTGGGGGAGAAAAGCTGCGCAGAGAGACCAGGCTCAGTCTGAGCTGGACGAGGCAAGTCTAATAGATACACCGGGACAGCCAGCTCCCTCCTGGAAAACTGAGCGGCGCCGCTGGCGCTGCCTTAGGAAGGAGGGCGGGTAGAGAAGAAAAACCTGGCCACTTTCAAATACCTCCGTTGTTTCTTTCATTCAGCCTTTATTTCCTGCTTACCATGTGAAAGCTGCCAGTATGAGAGACATTCTGAGTTCCAAATGCTTACTATACATGTGAGGCTACATTTTCATTCTTGCCACAATTCAGCAATTTAGAATTATTTTCTGGGGATTTCTAAACGTACTTTGATGTAGCGTATAAAGTGGGGGCGGTGATCAAGAAATGTTGAGAGATGAGAACTAGAATTCCTTTCCTATATAAATACAGAGCACTGAACTGTACTTATGTTTCCTACAGTACCTCGCTCAGTCCTCAGACTGCTCCACCAAAGGGTGATACTCGTAGTCTTACGTCACAAGAAGATGTCTAAGCTTACACAGCTGGTTAGAGGCGAGGTGTACCAAGTTCTCCTTATTTCCCTTAGACGGCTTCAGGTCAGTCACAGCTACCCTGGTAGGATTTCAGGACTTCTCTAGGTTTGGCTGGCAGAATGATGCCCCCTCTCCCCCCGAAATATGTCCACATCGTCATCCCTGGAACATGTGAATGTATTACTTTCCATGGCAAAGAGTGGAGTCTCTGGGTGGGACAAATGGTTAAGTGGTCAACTACCAGCCAAAAGACTAGTGGTTCGAGTCCACCCAGAGGCACCTCGGAAGGCAGGCCTGGTGATAACACTTCTGAAAGGACACAGACTTGAAAACCCCACGGAACAGCTCCACTCTGCACACATGGGGTCTCCATGCGTTGGAATTGACTCGACAGCAACTAACAACAACATGGCAAAGGGGAAGAAAGCTGCAGATGGAATTAAGGTTGGGAATCAGATGACCTTCACACAGGGAGAGTATCCCAGATTATTCAGGTGGACCCAAGATAATTTTTAAAGGCCTTCAAAAGTGGAGGAAAAGGAGGCCTGGTGGTGCAACAGTGAAGCACTAGGCTGCTAACGGAAGGGTTGGCAGTTCGAACCCACCAGCGGCTCCGTGGGAGAAAAGACCCAGCAATCTGCTCCCGTGAAGATTACAGCCTAGGAAACCCTATGGGGGGCAGTTCTACTCGGTCATATAGGGTTGCTATGAGTAGGAATCAACTCCACTGCGCACAACAACAGTGAAAGTGGAAGAGGGAGGTAAAAGAGAGGTCAGAGTGGTGCCACGTGAGGACTCAACCAGCTTTGCTAGCTTAACAATATAGGAAGAGGGCCAGGAGCCAAGGAATGCAGGCAGCCTCTAGAAACTAGCAAACCCACCTAGAGTCTACAGAAAGGAACACAGACCTGTGCATGCCTTAATTTTAGGCCAGTGAGTCCCATTTCAGACTTCTTACCTATAGAACTATAAAGTAATAAACTTGTTTTAAGCCACTAAATTTGTGGTAATTTGTTACAGCACCAAGTAGAAAACTAATACACCAGGCTTCTCCTAATCCTCAGAATTTAGGAAATGCTGACAACTAATGGTTACTAATGATTACTCAGTAGGTACCAGGTAGTTTTCTAAAATGATCCTATAACCCACGACACTGCCAGTCTGGGAACTGTTTGGTACCAGTCCACAAAAAAAGAGCAGAAATTGAGAAAGTTTATATACGTTTGTTTAATTCAATATGGCCAATTTCACATCTGCTAACTCCAATAATAAAAAACTCAGCCTTGTACACCTTCTCCTCACTTATCAACTGTCTCATTATCCAACGTTTCGCATTTACGACAATAGTAAAAAAATCTATCTCACTATTTTGTGCATTAACGACATATGTCTGGCAGTAAGTAATGCCAAGGTGTGAGGCGTAATGCTGGCTGTGATGGTTAAGGTTGTGAGTCAACTTGGCTGGGCCGTGATTCTCAGTGGTTTCGCCGTTATGATGTAATTTGGCAGTTATGTAATGATGTAATTTGGCGGCTTTGTAATGATGTAGTCATCTTCCATTTTGTGATCCGATGTGGTCATTATCCATTTTTGCATAATGCCAATTTTGCATAACAACTCGGTCTTCTTTGGAACTTAACCATGTTAATAAGCGAGAAGCGTGTGTATTTTTTTGTCTATTTTTTTCATTTCATCTATCTGGTAATGTTATTGTAGTTTACAAAAATAGTGACCAACACAGATAAAAATTAAATATATATACACGCATATATGTTAAGGGTTGAACTGTGTCCCCAAAAAATATGTGTTTTAAATTCTAACCTCTATGTCTGTGGTTTCAATCTCATTTGTGAATGGGTTTGTTATGTTACTGAGGCAGGAGGAGTGTAGGATGTATCTTGAGTCCATCTCTTTTGCAATATAAAAAAGAGATTAAACAAGCAAGCTAGCAAGTAGAGATGGGATAAGATTGATGCCAAGGCACATGGAGATCTCCAAGGAAGCAGGAAGCAGAAGCTGAAGAGACATGGACCTTCCTTTAGAGCTGACAGAAAGGAAGCCCTGCCCTAGAGCCAGCATGCTGAATTTGGACTTCTAGCCTCATAGCAACCCTACAGGACAGAGAAGAACTGCCCCATAGGGTTTCCAAGGTTGTGAATCTTTATAGAAGCAGAATACCACATCTTTCTTCCTTAGAGTGGGTGGTGGGACCGCTGACCTTTCGGTTAGCAGCCAAACACTTATTCACTGCATCACCAGGGCTCCTTAAAACTCTGTTGTGTGTGTGTGTAAACCGTCGCCATCAAGTCGATTACAACTCATAGTGACCCTATACGACAGAGCAGAACTGCCCCATAGGGTATCCAAAGAGTGGCTGGTAGATTAAAACTGAAAACCTTTTGGTTAGCAGCCGAGCTCTTAACCATATACATAAAAAGGTCATTCACAGAAAAGGAAAGTGAAGCACCGGTAGGTTATATCAATTGCCCAAGTTCAGAAACACAGTAATCCTCATTCATTCATTCATTAACAAAAGTTTATGGAGCGCTTGCTATGACAGACACCAAGCCCCACGCTGGGTACAGCTGCAGTGTAAAACAAGACGGGGCAAAATCTCTCTGGGGTGTGAGTCCAATTCGTGGATGCCTCCGCGTCCCCGGTGTCGACCGAGACCACTAAACCCAGCAGCGCCCCCTGCTGGTTTCGCTTCCGCCACCAGAGCTCGCACCAGAAAGCCACGCCGTGCGGGTGGGCTACAAAAGTACAACCAAGGGATGAAAAACACCCGCCACGAGCTCCCCACCTAGACTCTCGGCCCCGCCCCCGGCTCCAGCCTCCTCCCCCGCCA